GCGAAATTATCTTTTGAAAAAATATTTTTTTATTTCCTCCAACATCTAGGCAAAAAAAATAATAAAAATTATTATTACTTCTTTGAGTATTTTTAATACATATTTTTAGTTATTACTTGTTTTCAATTTTATTATTATTAAAACAATTAAATATTTATTCTAACAAATTTAAAAATTTATCATGTATAAATATAAACATATACTTAAAATAACAAAAATAATAATATAAAAAAATTAGAAAATTCAAAAAAAAAATTTTTTTACCTGAACCAGACCGGTCAACGCTTGTTTAGATCGATCTGACCGGTTCTAGTGGTCCAGTGGTTCGGATCGGTTTAGATCGATTCACTGGCGGTTTGTCTGGATCGGTTTAAGGTTGGTTGAAGCGGGTTGACGGGTCAGTTTGCATGGATCTCGGGTCGGATCTGGGTCAACGCGCGGATCCTCCTCGCATAAAACGACGTTGTTTTGCTCCTTAGTCCTTTATATATAACCAAAAAAATTTTTTTTGTTCATTTGATTTCTGTTTTCAAAAAAAAAAGGGGGAGAGGTCCGGCCGTTCGCCGTCCGGCTGCCGGAGCACCACACCGATCACCGCCTGGTCACCGTCAGCGGTGGTCATCGGTGGCCAGAAAATTATCAAAACTTTTTTCGAAGGTCCTTTCAATGAGATCTTCCCAGATCTGAAGTCCATTTTACCAGAAACAGCCCCGATCGGCATAGATCGAGGCTTGAAGCTTTCGATTTCCTTTCTTTTTTTTTTTTTGAGAAACTAACTTTTTATTTTTTTTAGTTGATTTTACAAGGCTTTCTCGGTGCTGATGGTTCCTCGTCGTAGGCGAGGATAGTGTTATTTTTTTGTTTTGTGTTTTGTTTTTATGGGTAGAGGGGTTTCTGATGGGCGAGAGGTTGATTGGGGTTAGATTTTTTTGGTGTGTCTGAAGGTGAAGAACTGTCTAAAAGATTTCGATAGGGGATGTCCGCGAGCGATTTTGAGAGGGGGGTCCGAGAGAGCTATTGAAAGGGATTCGAGAAAGAGGTTTCGAAAAATGAGGGTTCCAAGAGAGGTTGAAAGGGATAAGGCTGTGGGTTTTAAAGAACTCCAAGGTGGCTGTAGGGTGGCTGTAGGCTGGCTGTAGGCTGGTGAGCATGGGTAGACAGGGGGCTGGTCAGAGGGCTGTAGGGTGGCTAGTCGGGGGCGACAACAGTGCTAGCCACCCTCAGCCTTTTTTTTGTTTTTTTTTCTTGTTTTTATTTTTTTTTTACGTTTATTTTTTAATATAATTAGTAATAATTATTTTTTAAAATTATTATTATTATTATTATTGAAATTAAAACAGTAAACCTAGACAAAACCGATGTCTACACCTATTCTCAAGAGCATTCATGAATTCTTCCTATCATTATCATATCCAATATATTCATAATCATAGCAAATATTCTCATAAAAATATATCTTAAGCAAATAGGAATTAAACACAATTTCAACAAGTATGTGGAATATTTATATCAAAATCATGCACTCAAAAATAAAATGCATACTTAATCAAGCTCATATATGTCATATAAAATTCTCATATTCAAGATATATCAAAAAAGTATATACCAATAACCATTGAGCATTCAACATTTGACAAGAATAGGCAATCAATTTTAAATTAATAAATGTTTAAAGGTTACCCATCTCCATTATGTGTCTAAAGTTTCATTCTTTAAAATCACATTGTAACTCTTTACTCTAGCATACCTATAAAAGACATTCTTCATTTGATTTTTGATACCCAAATTGCTTTAGGTTTTTGAGAGTTAGTCACAAAATCTCTTATTCTTTTAAGAGCCCATACTTGTCTAATTCTAAATGAGACTTTTCTTCTAATAGGACAAGTAGGTATAGTATGACCAAGAAAATAACAAAAATTGTATTTAATCATTTCAGTACTTAATAAACTTTTTAAAAACTTTTGTTTTTCATTAATTAATTCATCAAATTTCTTTTTCAAAACAATGTTTTCTTTCTCTAAAAATTTATTTCTATTTTGAGAGGTTTCAAAATCTTTTTTCATTTTTTCATTTTTTCCAAAATATTTTTTGTATTCATTAAAAAATCATTTTCGACATTCAATTTTGAAATCATTTTCTTATATTTTCTCTTCATGGATTCACATTCAACGTATAGCTCATTATAAGCATCTTGTAATTCATCAAAAGTAAATGAATTTGAATCAATAGAATTAGAGGTTATCTCTGGATCTTTAAAAGCCATAAGACATGATGCATTTTAATTAGATTGTTATCTTTCATGTATTTCATCTAACTTCTTTCACATCTCATTTGAGGTTAAACACTTTGATATCAAGTTGAAGTTGTGGGAGTCAATAGCTCTATATAATAATTACTTGGCCTTGGTTTCATCTATCATTTACTTCATATAATTTGCATCATTTGAAGGAATTTCAAGCCCTTTCTTTATCACATTTCAAACTCTAAAATCTTGGGTCATTGTGAACACCTTCATCTTCATTCTTCATTCACAAAATTTAAATTTATCAAATATAAGAGATTTGAGGACTTATTCACCATCTTGAAACCTAAATTAAGTCATAGAATCTTTACTTAAGGTGGTTAAACCCACAAAAAGAGATTAAAGCTCTGATACCAATTGTTATCTTTTTAGGTGAGATTATAATCCAAGAGAAGAATGAATTGGATCTCTTTAAATTTTTTTCAAACAATAATTTTAATATAATTGAATGCAAAATTAAAATCAACATTAAAATACGTGCAAATAACAATAAATTGGTAATCTTGAAGCAAATGCAAAGTAAAGAGATAAGGATAAAAGAAATCAAATACAAATATTTATAAAGGTTTAGTCTTTTTTCATAGGGCACCTCCATCCTTTCTTCTTGGTTATCCACATTAAGGCTTCAATCCACTAATCTGAAATTAAAAATACAACTTTATCTTTTTCTCTCTAACGCTTAAGATAGAAACCTCTAACCTTTGTAATATTTTATCCAATCTCACTATAAAGTTCTCAAGAAGATACCCCACCTCTTACTCTATTCCACCTTTATAGATCAAAAGTAATTTTGCAAATAATAGAATAATCTCTCTAAAGCTAGGTGTTTGCTAAATTTAAGTACAAGAAAATGATAAATGAACAACAAATAATATTTTGATATAATAAATACAAAGATATATAATTTAAAGCTCTAAAACTCTTGATTTTTTTTTTTTTAGAGAATGAATATGTGGTTTGTTTGATCTTGCTCTCTTGATTCATCAACCTTCTTAATGTGTTAGAATATCCAATTTATAGAGACAATGAGGAACTAGCCATTTAGGGATGGTTTGGAGTTGAAAATACCCGTTGAAGCCTGAAAAACTAACCGTTGAAACATTTTTGGGCATAGATGATCGATTGATTTTGATAGGGGATCGATCTTGTATCTTACCTGATCGATCCTTTCTTGTAAGGGATCGATCCCTTTTGGTGTTTTTCAAATATATTTTATTTTTGTAAGAAAAATCTATTGATTCATTACAAGAAGGAATCAATTGGTTTAACTGAGGGATCAATCTTGTAACCCAAGGGATTAATCTAGTCAAGCTGAGCATTTGTATCCTATTTCGCACTCTACTTACTAATTTGATCATATTTTGAGTTATACAATTTCATATCAAAAATTGTTTTAAGATTTAGAAATTAAACTTCAAGAGTTTTTTTATCCATATAAAATTCATCACCTAATTCATTGTATATTATAGTGAATTTTTAAAATTACACCTTGTACAATTTTTAGACAACTACAAAATGTTTATTAAAATTTAAAATCTTTTCTTAGAAAATTTGAATTTGATTTTGATTTTGTTTGATCAATTAGAAAATAGACTTTAAAAGCTTTCTAACCATATAAAATTCAAATATTAAAACTTTGTGAATTAATATAGAAAAATAAAACAAGTTTAATGTTAGAAAATTTATTCATGTAAAACAACTTTCTTAAGTTAATCTATTTCTCAAAACCAATATTATCAAAATTATATTGAGTCCAAAATGAATAAATTCACTTTAAAAATAACAATTGGACTTTTATTTAAACTTAAATAAATAATGTTTAAAGATAGTTTTGATTTGAAATATAAGAAAACATAAATAAATGTTTGTTTAAACTTTAAAAATCATATTACTTATTTAGTATCAAAATAATAAAATTTACGAACATGTACTAAATAAATCTTTTTCAAAATTTTGATTAAGTTTATTTAGCTTAATGTTTTATCATTTCAAAATAAGAATCAATTCAAGGCTAACACAAGTTGTAAAGAAACAACAAGATACACTTCAACCATTAGAAGATTTAGTAAACCATTCGTAAAGGGTCATTTTTAAATGTTTTGTAGACTGAAGATCTACGATGTTATGTGCTAGGAGTTTATGCTTCTATATAATTTCCCTCTTTTTAGCATGAGGTCATATCACTTATAATTATTGTATTACAATTAACCAATCACAATTTAAAATTATATAAAATTCGATATGAAACCCACATTTGTAGATGGTGAATTCTTATATAATTCTTTGTTGTGATTGAAAATTTTTAATATTGTAATAAAAAAATTGTCAAAAAAATATTTGGGTTTTAGCATGGGTTTGAGCTATTCTTTTTAACATGTTAGTTTATAAGCTACTCTTTCTTGTTATTTTCAAAATGAAAAGTTATCATCATAAGTTAAATTATTTGTTGGAAAAGTATTGGATCTTTAATTTTTTATTAGAGTTTAAATATGAAACTTTCATATATTAAAAAAATAATTTGCCAAAAAAAGTACTAAAAAAATAAAAAAAATTTTAATATATTGATTGTGACATAGGGAGTTAGAAAATTATTTTATTTAATTTTAAATTGCTATTACTTTTAATATTATTGTTAATAAAATACTAATTACCAAAAAAATGTTATATTCCAATTTTGCCCACTTAGCATTTAGCAAAAGAAAAATGGCAGTGGCGTTTTATAAATACCTTTACCATTTCCCTCCGCAATTTCAAGCATTCAACAGCTTTGGCGCGATCTTCATTTTCTCAAAGGTAAGCCCTCCCCCAATTCCCTCCGTTTGTTTCTTAAGAAAATGAATGAAAATTATTTCTTGTTCTTTGGCGTCCAAGATCTTCTGAGTTCTCCATCTACATGGAAACATAATAAAAGTCGAATTTGTCGATCTTTTTTTTTTTTTTTCAAAATTTCTTCTATTTTCAGAGCAGTAAAACATGAGGTTAAAGGACTAAAAATCGGCTGAATTTGAAGAATTGATTTCAAATTCAGTATTTCTCGTGGAATTTTACATACTATTGCTTATTTCTTCGTTTTCTTGATTTTAAGCTATTTCTTGCATATTTCTGGAATGTTTGATTATTTATTTATTTATTATGGAATACTGTTGGTATTTAATTTTCTATATAAAATTGGTTTGGGATCAACTTTTCCTAATTCAAAAGATGTAGATTGATGTCTTTTCTTTTTTCTTTTTTGACTATAATTTGTATTTCCTTTGAACTGTGTTTGAAATCTTTCTGCAATCTTTACGCTTTTAGGGTTTAGCTAATTATAATTATGAGATTTAAGCTGATAAGATAATCATCATAAAAGCAACCATTTATCACTCTATTTCAATAATATGAAAGGTATTTATATCTGCTTGAAGGCGCAGCACTAAGTACTAACTGATTTTTTCCCCTTTGCTCTCACCCATGGTAATACCTTGGATTACACCTGGAGTAGCCAGAAGAGAGGAAGGCTGATAATGAAGTTTAAGGCATTTCTATCTGAACATGGTGTGAATCTCTTAGAAAGGCGGTTTCTACCAGCCCTAGACAAAATGGGCAAGATATGTCATTTATTTCTTACCAGAGACCATGCGATCTTCCTCCACAACCTTTTGAATGGCGATGGGGTTCAGTGCATTGCTCAGTTTCGCAAGGAAGCTCTCTTTGATGACTATCGGATCTCAAGTCAGAATGAGGACCGCATTGCCTTCACAATTGATGTATCCCTTCTGCTTCGTGCTGTTCGGAGTAGTGTAAGTATATGTACTGAATTTGGCAATGGGCCTTCTGCCAACCGTCTCCAAATTAAATTGGTTAAGAAGTTGCCTCCCAATTGTACTCAGCCAATGCCTTTTCTTACCTTTGAAACCAAGGGTTATAAATCTGCAGTCATTCAGGATGTACCAATATCAAAACCTTTATCTAGGGCTGAAGTGCTTGAGCTGCAAACTGCACTTGATGTGGCACAAGAACTACCTCAGACTCTGGTTCAAGTTCCAGATTTGAATCAATTGCAGAACTTTGTGGAACGGATGAAGCATGTTGGTGATTTGCTAAATGTCGCTATAAGCAAGTATGGAGATCTACATGTGCAAATCTCAACAACTTTGATCACACTTGGTGCTGAATTTCGTAAATTGTTGGTTATTGGAGAACAAGCTGAAGCTCCATCAGAGGAAAGAAATCTGAGCGCTCAGACTCGGTCGGAAAGGGCAATCTCGAGGGGAGACGCTCAGAGTGTTCAAGTGAGTATAAGACACTTTTCTAGGAGCCTTCAGTGTCACCTGGCAAAGCCTGACTGTGCTTTTTATGGGATTGCTCCGCAGGGTGCTTGTTTGACGGTGATATTTCAGTTCTTCATTCCTGGTACACGTCAAACTGATAAATCAATCAGTCTACATTGCAGGCTTCCTGTACTTGATCCAGGGTCAAGTTGAATTCAATCAGTTTGCCATCAATAGCTACTTTTCAGCCAGAACTAGTAATTTTCAAGTAGCTTGTGGCCTGGCAATCCATGTAACCATTACATTCCAGAAGACTTCCTCAAAGTCCGAACTTTGAAGCATATGTTACTTATGAAAGCAATTTGAGAATAGGTAGAATTAAGTACAAAAATGATTTTATCGTTAGTAATGTATGTTGAATACAAGATTAGAAATAGTCCATTTCTTAATGAACTCTTCTGGTCTTCCTTCTCAATGAAACAACAGATATGTGAATGTGAAGATAAACTCTAAGTCTACCACATAGTAAGAGTTTAGGTCTCCCTTAAATAGAACAGTGATACAGTAAAAGAATAACGACTGTAGAGCTTGCAGCTCTCGTTCTGGTCCTATCCTACTAGTCATGTAGGAGTTACATTAGTTAAAGGGAAACTTTGATACTAGGCTTTTTGAAACTAAACTTAGTAATTTTAGATATGATATAATGATGTTACATGAAAACAATATGAAAAAAAAAAAGATTTAAAATTTTAACAAAAATTATATATAAATTTGACAAAAACTAAAAAGTATGTTTAGTGTTGGCTTGTCAATATAATGGTAATATAATAATTTTTATATTTTATATATGTTTCATGCGAAATAAACATGACATATATGCACAAACTATCAATTTATTTGAAACAATCAGTCCTGGAATAACCTTTGATCATTGTGTTCGGAAGGAAGATGGTTTTTGGTTCGGCAATTTTATTGAACATTTTAAGTGCATGGTCCATGCAACAAAAGGATATAATTTTGTTTTGGGAAATGAGTTGTTTTGATAAGCCTGCTTTTATGGTTGGGCAGTGGATTTGTTTGACAAAAATGGGCTGCTCAAATTGGCAAAGGAGTTGCACTGGGTTTGCTTTGCATTTCAATTTTCAACTTCGAAAAAGAAAATGGAAAAGTAATGAAGCTCAGTAGCGCTGTTGACGTCTGTAGATCGGACGACTGTGAAGGACCCTTCCATCACGAGAGCGCAACTATCATCACAGCTCCAGGAATGCACCAGCCGGGAATCGAACCCGGGTCTGTACCGTGGCAGGGTACTATTCTACCACTAGACCACTGGTGCTTGTTGGAAAAACGAAAAAACCATATCTTCTTCTAGCTATGACCAAGAAAAGATTATCAAATATACCCAAGATTGAATCATGTCAGTGTTTTGCTCGTGCATGCATAACCCCAGTTTAAAGAACAAAAATAATTATTTATTCTTTTATTAAAAATAATTTAATAAAAAATATAAATTGATAGATTGATAGAGATTAATGTGAATATCAATAATATGTAAAAAAAATTATTAAAATATTACTTATAATTCAAATTTTATCGATATTTATTTAACAGTAAAAATTTTATTAATATTTTTATTAAAAATATATATCTAAAAATATATATATAAATTTATTAAATTTTTTTTAAATTTTACATACATAATTTATATAATAAAATCTTTTAATTTATCAATTTTAATTTTTAATTTTAATTTTTATATAATCATTTTTAATTAAAAACTTCATGAACTTCATTTAAAGAAGTTAGTTTAAGTCTTTCCCCCCAATTCACCTAAAGACTTCGGGACTACTATATTCTGTAAAAGATGAAAACGAAATCTATGATGATTCATACTGGAGCCAATTCTTTGCATAAATCAGAGCTTCAAGTGTCATTGGACGTAATGAACTGTAGTAATTATCCATCTTTTTTTCTCTGAGTGTCAAAAATAGAATCATAGCAACAGTAGAAAATGGTACTGACAAAATGTCGGAAGCCATCCTCGAGAGAACAGGGTACTTTTTCTTGTTTAGTTTCCACTAGCACAAAATATCTCACAATGAGTGGAATATCATCTTCTATATGCTCATCAACCGGCTCACTATCATATTCTTGGATTGGACGTCTTATCTAAGAGGCAATCGAATGTTTCTGATTTGGATCAGGATTTGCTACGATGAGTCCATCACCACTGCCAACGCCATTACCTCTTGTTCAAATACTTTCACCTTTCATTGGAGTCATATCTGTCATGACATAGTACAAAATGTAATAATTCAGCAAACCCACATAGCATAAACAGCATTCATTTTAATTCTTAGCTTATGAAAATGGACTTTTGCAAGTTCTAAATGGCTTACAGATATTCAAATCCATAAATCATTTAAAGCTTATGAAAATTTATTTTTGTCGAAATTTATTTTCGTAAGCTTTAAAAGACATACAAAAATGGATTTCCGTAATACATGATATCACAAAAATAAAAAATCACAAACCAAGATTGTAAATCCTAAAAAATAAATTAAATAAATCAACAACAATAATTAAGTCTTATCTTCAATAGATCAAATAGTAAAAAACTTGTGATTTAGGGGTTTGTTTGTTGGTTTTGGATTGAATTTAGGTAGAGTGTAGTGGGAAAATTTGAGAGAATTAAGAAGAGAGAAGAAATGATGAGTGTAAATGATATGAATGAAAATGTGAAATGTTGGAACAACGATGCAATGAGTGAAAATGTTAATCATGTATTTTAAATTATAGATGTAATTATTAACAAGGTGTGAAAATTATTTTTATGGGTTTGAAATTTCTCAATCAGCTTTTTCCATATCTAGTTTGTCTTGATACAATTAGATGAGACTTCTTCTATAAATATATAAAAATCAAAGCTTCTAACAAAATAATAATAATTTAATGTGAATAGTTTATATTTTTTACATGTGAATAATCTAAAAAATTAGCATATGTTACTAATTAATTATGCTTTCAAATTTAAAATTTAGAATTTAATTTTTTCCATTATTATAACACATTTAATGGTTCTTATTAATACATAAGGAGAGAATCTTATTTATTTTTAAATAATTAATTGACTAAAATAAATTAAAAACCAAATCAAGAATAATAGTATTTTAAATTAAGAGTAATTTATATTTAGACAATTAAAATAGTCAAGTATAATGTGATTTTAACGTGCTTAAGATAAATGAAAAAAGAGGTTTTGAAATTAGTGTATCTTATATAAATATATAAAAACAAGAAAAAGATTTACACGAAGTTTCATAAGTGAAGTTCATGAAATTTTTTATATAAATGAGTAAATAAAAACTAAAATCAAATATCAAAATCAATAGATCAAAAGATCTTATCATATAGATCAAGTGTGTAAATTTTGAAAAAATTTTAAAAAAATTTGATATATTTATTAAATAGATATTTTAGTAAAAATATGACAGAATTTTTACAATTGAATAAGTATTAATTAAATTTGAATTATAAATAATATTTTTAACAATTTTTTTTACATATTATTAATTTTCACATCGAATTCTATCAATCTATTGGTGCATGTGTTCATAATTAATTATGCATTTAAAATTTAAAATTTAAAATTTATTAATAAAATAAATTTAGCTTCGAATATCTTATTTTAATTATTATAACACATTCAATAGTTCTTATTAATACATAAGGAACGAATCTTATTTATTTTTAAATGATTAATTGACTAAAATAAATTAAAAACTAAATCAAGAGTAATCTTATAACTTATATAAATATATAAAAGCCAAGCCTTCAGCAAAACTGAAAATTTTTTTAATGTAGATAGTCTATATTATTGACAAATGAATAATATTTGTAGACATCCAATTGGGTCCAGGCTCAGATCAATTGGGCTTGGCCCAAATGGGTAAAACCATTTCAATTTCTATCTGATATTATTTTTATTATTATTATTTTTTTCTTTCTTTTGTATTTTTATGTATTTTTTTATTATTATTATTATGTATTAATATATGTATATCTGTATTTATTTATTTTTTTATTTAGAATAGATTTATATGTAATTTATTTATATAGAATATTTATTATTATATTATTATTATTATTTTTTTTTTGTAATATATTTTTAGATTTATCTTATTTTATTTTATTTATTTATTTTTTAATTATCTGTCAATTTTATTCATTTATCTCTTTTTTTTTTATTATCCAATTATTATTATTTTTTTTTTCTTTTTTGGAAGGTTGAGATTGAAGCTGAAGAATCCTACTGGGAATGGGGATTCAATAAGAAGAGTCCAGATTTGATTCAAAGATTGAATCCCCGTCCAAAGAAGAATTGGGATTGATCAGAAACTCCTGATCAATCCCTATAAAAGGGACCCTCCTGGAACAGATGAAGAACACACAGAGAAAACAGTGAGCCAGAGCTACTGATTTGAGAGGAAAAGGCGTGGAGAAGAGTATAGAAGGCTAAGAAAAGGTTTAGGAAAGTTCTGGGAATCATCAGAAATTTTTTGGGAATTTTTCAAAATTTTTTTTTTTGGGAATTTCTGAAAAATTTCAGATTCCGGTTGAATTTTTCGGCGAAGTTTGAATTTTTCGACGGAAATTCCGGCCAACCTTGAAGTTTCCGACGAAGAATCCCAGAAACCGGTGATTTTTCGACCAACTTCCGGTGAACCTCCGGTGAAATTTTCAGATTCCGGTGACATTTTTCAGAATCCGACGAAAATTCCACCGGTGTTCTTCAGCTTTTAGAGAGAAGGGAGAGAAAAAAAGAAGAAGAGAGAGAGAGGGGATGAGCGTTCTGTCGAAAAACAGAGGGAAGTGCCTTTTATACCCTCTCAAAACGACGTCGTTTTGGCCTTAAGTAACCCAAAGGATCCACGCGTTTTGTCGAGATCCGACTCGACCCGAGTGTCTACCCGCTTCCTGACCCGCGCGTGCTTTCCCCCCTCGGAGCCAAGCCAAGCCGAGCCATTTTTTCTTCCTTGAGCTGAGCCGAGCCGCTCCAGGTTTTTTTTTTTTTTAATTTTTTTTCATTTATTTGTTTATTTATTTTTTTATTTATTAGATTAGGTTTATTTAATATTCTTTTTATCTTTATTTTATTTTTATTTTTGTTTTACTTTTCTTTATTTTTTATTTTTATTTATTTTTTTTATTATTCTATTTTCTTTAAATAAAAATCAAAATTTCCAAAAAAAAATATTTTTAGGGAAAAGTTGAAAGTATCAATTTTCTTTGAAAATCAAAATTTCCAAAAAAATATTTTTAGGGAAAAGTTGAAAAGTTGAAAGTATCAATTTTCCTTAAAAATAAATTTTCAAAAAAGTATTTTTGGGGAAAAGTTGAAAGTATCAATTTTCCTTGAAAATAAATTTTCAAAAAAATATTTTTGGGAAAAAGTTGAAAGTATCAATTTTTCCTGCACAAGAACAAACATCATTTCCTTCCCTTTTATTTTGATTTTGATTTTGATTTTTTCTTTAAATAATCCGACAACGGAGCCTCTGCAAGTGAAACAGTAGTTTTTTCTTGCATACTCTTGAGGTGAGAGAGTTTTCTCAATTTTCTGCTAAAAGTATTAGAGTCAATTGAGAATAATTTCCAATAATTAACTACTTGATAAAATTTTAAGGCTTTTTGG